CCCCAAAACCCCAAAACCCCAAAACCCCAAAACCCCAAAACCCCAAAACCCCAATTTTTGACAAACTAATTGAATTTTAGCTACAAATAGGAAAGGGATTTAAACCTGATCGATAATTTCCAACAGAGTAGGTTTATTTATCACCGTCATTCAGACCGAATACATCTGCTAAGAATTCATCTTCTGTCTGTTCTGGTTGTTTTGCTTCCTCTGGGGCTCTATTTAAGTTAAAAAATTAAATTCTTACGATGGGTCTGGATGAGACTCCATTCCTGCTGATTTGAGAGACTCTTCCATTGCCATTTTGATCATATCTTCTTCCGAAATATCTTGGCCAAATCCTCCATTATAGTATTGGTCCATATCATCATCAAATGCAAAACCATCAGAGACATCGAAATCTGGGACTGAACTAGGAGGTGCATCAAAATGTTTCTTATCTTGTGGGACAATATTGTGGACTTGTAAAGAATTAATAAAGAAAATAACGACAGAATCGTCAAAGAATGCAGGCCTTGTTGAGTTATGATCCCCTTCAAAGGAAATATAATTCTTATCACCAGCATATTTCTCATGGAGCTCTTCAGAATGAGAAGGAAGGATAAAGTCATCTTCTTTAGCATGACCGAAAAGAATCGGGACAAAGGCTTTATCTATATGATCTATTGGTTTCACTTTAGCTAGTTGGAATTTTGCCCTATCTTTTACAGATTTTGCGATGAATTTAGTTCCCATTGAAACAACGAATCCTGGCATTTTTGTGTACTTTTTAGCAAGCTGACTTGACAGTTTATTTAAGGTCGCTGAACGCTGAGTCACACACAATCCCTGCAATCGACGGGTCTCGGTCGCTATGCAACAAAGCTGTCACTGCTCCCATTGATCGGCCCCACAGCCCGATCGTAGCTACAGTCCCAAGGTCCCTGAGATACTCAACAGCAGTGGCCACATCGTCTCGTTCGTACCAGCCGAGCGAAATGTACTCCCCGTCGCTTTTGCCAGAGCCTGCGAAGTCCAGGGTAAACACTGTGATGTCTTCTGGCAGCAGCAGCTTCACTGCCGGCATGGCCTCGGTCCGACTGGAAGCGTTTCCATGCAAGTAGAGCACACAAGGGAGTTCTTTGCACGGCCGCTGGCTGTCGATGGGCTCATAGTGGGTGCACTTGATCGTCAGTTCTCTGTCGTTGACAAGGTCGACATCAGTCCGCTTGAAACGCCTTCCTTTGATTTGGAACTCAGGCGGGCCGAGTTCAGCATCATCGTAATCATCATTTCTGGGAGGCCTGATGATGGCTTTCCAGAGGTCCGAATAACCTTTGATCTCCATTATTTCTGAAAATTTTATTATTTTTCGGATGAATAGATTTTTTCATTAAAAATTCCTTTGAAGGGGTTTTGGGGTTTTGGGGTTTTGGGGTTTTGGGG